AGTTTATGTAACTCCAGGTGTCTCAAATACTTGTCTCTATGTGGCTGTGACGGTTTGGAGTTTTTTCCAAGGCTAGATGGGCTTTCTTCTCTTCAGTGTTTAAGTATAGAGGATTGTGGCGGGTTAACCAGTTTGCCAATTAGCCTCTTTTCTTGCACTGCTCTTGAGAAATTGACCATAACCCAGTGCAATAATTTGATGACTATTTCTAGTATAGATGGGCTTTCATTTCTTCGAGAAATCTATATTTCCTATTGTTGGCAACTGAAAAGTATTGGGGAGAGTTTATCTTCTTGCCCGTGTCTCAAAAAGTTGACCATAGAGGACTGTCCTAGTCTGATGTCCATTCCAAGTCTGTTTGCACTTTTCTCTCTGGAGGCTTTATCTATAAAACGTTGCATTGGATTGACAAGTTTGCCAAGTGGGTTGTTCACTTGCATCTCTCTTGAAAAGTTGACTATAACGGAGTGTCATAGTCTGATCTCTATTCCAGAGGATTTGAAGGAACTGCATTCTCTTGTTGAACTAGAAATTTCAAGATGTGGAGGATTGCTAGAAATCCCAGAGGAGTGTCTTGGCTGCCTTACCAGCTTGAAGCAACTGTGTATTGGTGGTTTCTCAAAAGAGCTAGAGGAGTTTCCAAATCTCGGCTTCATTCAACATGTCCACACCTCCCTTCGTCAATTGACTTTGGTCGGATGGGAAACATTAAAGCGTCTGCCACGTCAAATTCAATGCCTAATTGCTCTTCACCGATTGTTTATAGAAGATTTTGATGGATTGGAAGCTTTGCCAAATTGGTTTGGAAACTTATCCTCTCTTCAAAATCTGTCGATTAACGACTGCAATTCTCTGAAACAAATGGAAGCTATCCGATGCCTCTGCAAATTACATTCCCTTCGAATTTCCAGATGCCCTGAGTTAAAGGAGAGATGCGCCAGGGGAAGTGGCTCCGAGTGGGACTACATCTCTCACATTCCAAATATCGACATAGACAGGCTGTCGATCCAACTCAAAGGAGCTCCCGTTCAGGTATCTTCTGCCTTTAACTATATAAAATATATCATTTCTTTTTAATTCCCTCTTTTTCTTATTGATTTCATTTATGCATTTGGCTTTTATCATTCTTTTAGATACTACTCCTAAATCCTTTTTTTCCAAATCATGTGCGGTATGTTGCAACTAAAACCAAATTTATCTGCTACCATTTTACCTACAATTCAAAAGCAAATGTTAATAATTTCATTTTTTAAAGCAAGTTTCTTTATTTTTGTCAATTCATCTTTTTTTAAAATGTTATATTAATAAGAGCGGTGCTAGGGGCACTCGCCTCCAGCACTCTCCGGCCAACACTCCTCCGTTCATTGGGCCACGTTATTTTAGTTCGCGAGAGGTTGCACTCCAGAGCTTAAACAACCTTACGTGGCCCAGTGAAAGAGGGAGTGTTGGCCGGAGAGTGCAGGAGGCGAGTGCCCCTAGCACTGCTCTATTAATAATTTCTCCATTCAAAGGCTGTACTACCATTCCAAATTCAAATTTCCTGATTTGCTACACCTGCACTTGACAAGTCTGGATTTTGAATATTTGTCTTTATCCAACAGCACTAGGATGATGATAATCGGCTATTACTACCAACACAACCACGACAATGAGATGCCTCTTTTGTTGCAAAAACAAACAAACAGAAAGCCAAACAAGTTTCAAAAATTGAAGGCAGGCTTCCTGGCTTGGTACCCCAACCCAGACCACAGACTTCAATGCTTATTTTGAAGTTAGACTTGTGAATGCATTCAGGTCTGTTAAATGTCAATTATCTCATCATGTTTAACATTTACTTATCTGATATGTAGATAATGTATGTTGTGTATAAAGGCTGCATCATTTTGCAGGCCTCTGGTTCTTCAAATTAACCTGCAAGCAATCAGTCTCTAAAACCCTTCTTTCAATCTAGGAGCAGAAGTGATGTT